CTCGTCTTATTATATCCTCACGTAGTTCGCACCAATCATTAGATGGGTTAGTTAAATTTCGGTACGTGATAAAGCCCGAATGTGTCACGGATCAAGAAAACCGAACTTTAATCCATTTAGAACGACTCATCGATCAAAGTGCCGTAGTGCAAGCGACGATGCCGTGAATGTTATGATACTCGACATTTTTATTTTTTCTTTGGTCGATTAATAAGCGTATTTGATCGTCAGTCCACATCACAAAAAGTTGACAGCCAAATGGTTGCGGTGTAACTGAGATACACTTATTTCCCATACAATTATATATAAAAAAAAGTTCATCGTGCCTACGTCGCACCTACATCGTACCTTCATAGTATCTTCATTACATCTACAGTATGTGTCTTGACACTAGCTTCGCTATTATAAGGGGTGTAATACATAGAGCAAAGTTAACTGGAATTAGCATTACGTCCGAAACTATATAAAGAGAGGTAGATTCGTTTATTATGATCAACGAAAAAAATTATTTTAATCTAACCAGTACTGAAAAATTAGGTTACACGAATAACGTGCTGTAAATCTTGATGTCAAAACGAAAAAAGGTCGAAACCGAAGGTGTGAGCCCTCCTGCACCTAAACGGAAGTCAATTCGGATTGCGAGACAAGAGTCGCTTACGGGAGCCACTAGTAGCCTTAGAATCAGTTCCGGCTCCAGCTCCAGTGCCCGTTCAAGCTATGGCTTAAAAGATCTCCCTTCTTCGGCATCCAAATTCGCGTTAGAAGATGTGGAGGCACTAAATGCAACCTTCAAATCGGCTTCCAATCAGAACGAAGTCATACCTGATGTTGCAGGTAAGAACTACTTTGTGTCAACAATCCTCTTAGCGAACTTATACATATAATTAAATATTAACTAGGCACGAACATTCCACGTGATTATTTTCTCCTCAATCTCTCTAGCGATACGCTTCGGAGACCCGATTTCGATGTTAGCAACCTTCATGGAATTTCGGATAAATACGTCAAAGCGTTCGTTAAAAGGTTGCACAGAGTGGTCATGAATGCAGGTCTCGATATAGGCACGGATGAAGCTAAGACTGATTCATTAGTAAACCATATGTTAACTCGCTTTGCTGAATTTGATGGTTGGCCATTTGGTTTAAGGTTAGGAATAATAAAAATATCTT